CTCCCAAAGTGTTGGGATTACAGACATGAGCCATTGTGCCCGGCCAGGTCTGGTCTTTTAAAACTTTTTTAAAGTTCCTAATGCGTAGCCAAGGCTGAGAATCACTGTTAGCGATTTATCCTGTCTCTCAGACTCTCAATTCTTTTATGTAATAATTTTAATCTATTAATTTACCCCAGATTGCAAATTTGCCTAGATCCTATAGGTTTGTATGGTCTTATATTTTATTATATACTTTTATAGAAATTTTATTTTATACATTTATATAAATTTTATCTTTACACTTTTTATATTTTTAAATTTATTTTTGGTACAATTATGAGGAGTGACAATTTTTGTTTATAGGTACATTATACACTTCTAGTTGTATCACTTTGTGATCAGTGAGTATAACTTGTGTAATTTTACTGTTTTTAAAATTTATTAAAATTTTTGTGAATTAGCATATAAGTTTCAGATCTATTTCTGTAAATATATATATTGTCATGTATAAAGGAGCCATCCTCTATATGCAACACAAAATTTATTATCATTTATTTCCTTGATTATGGGACTTCATAATCATAAGAGAAACCATTGATTTAATAATAGCTTTTTCAGGAAGAGTAAGCAACATTGTATTAAATGTACACAAATTTTTATTGTCTACTAACATATAGAACACGCACTTATCCTTACCATTATGTCCCTTTTATAGTATTTCACAATTTAAGTCTGAGCCTTTTTCATAAAATCGAGCTTAAACATATTAAACTTGGACATGTGATGTTGACCTCTTTATAAAATGTTGAGGTTATTGAACATTGCCAATGTTTTGTCTTTCTTTCCTGATAGCTTCTCTAGAAATTCAGCTGTAAGTTTTTGACACTTAGATGTTTGGTTCCTGAAGTAATAGTCTTTCTGACTCACGTATTGGCCACATCAGCCTCCCCATTTTTAAAAATTATATGATTTATTCTAAGAGATTAGGCTTTGGCTTTTGCCTTACAGTTGCATGGTCTAGCCTGCAATGGACAACCTTCTCCACGCAATTATTTTTTGTGTCACACTGCATCAGGCAACAATTATTTTCAAACATTTTAAGTGAAAATTAGGAATCTAGTGTTAAAATCCAGCTGTTTGGGATATGCAATGCAAAGCAAATAACTCAACTGACATGAAGATAGGATAGATCCTACTCTACAAAGCTAAATTTGCACCATACATCAAGTTGGAACTACTTGCCCATTAAAATGCATTCTTGATTGCTTTGAGATTCTTTTTGCTTTAATTGTAAGAAGATCCTGAATTCAGAAATATTAACATTTAAAATTTTTCCTTTGTAATGAGGAAATCATATACCTGTTATTTAAAGCTAATTGATTTCAGATTTCAGGGTTTTTTTCTTTTTCTTTTTTTCTTTTCTATCACCCAAACTGGAATGCAATGGCATGATCATGGCCCACTGCAGCCTTGATTCCTGGGCTCAAGCAATTCTCCTGCTTCAGCTTCCTGAGCAGCTTGGACTATGAGGCATGCACCACCATACCTGACTAGTTAAATAAAGGAAAATTGTTGGAGAGACGGGGACCCATGTGTCGCCCAGGCTGGTCTAGAACTCTTGGCCTAAAGTGATTCAATCCTCCCGATGTAGCCTCCTAAAGTGTTGGGATTACAGGCATGATCCACTGTGCCCAGCCTAAGGTTTTATATCCTCTAGACTAAGATTAAAATTCCAAATGCCTTGAGGATCAGGCAGGTAACCTCATATAATATCATAGGGTCTGCAGAGGCCTGTGGAGGACTGAAGATCACATGCCCCCACCAAATGATATATATATATATTCTGTTTTCAAGAAAATTGCAGCCAGTTACATCCTCTAGGACCTTATTTTTCTTTTTTCTTTCTTTTCTTTTTTTTTCTTTTTTTTTTTTTTTGAGATGGCGTCTCACTCTGTCACCCAGGCTGGAGTGCAGTGGCACAATCTTGGCTCACTGCAACCTCCACCTCGCCGATTCAAGTGATTCTTCTGCCTCAGCCTCTTTAGTAGCTGGGATTACAAGCATGTGTCACCACACCCGGCTAATTTTTGTATTTTTAGTAGAGATGATATTTCTCCATGTTGGTCAGGCTGATCTCCACACCCCTGACCTCAAGTGATCCACCTGCCTCGGCCTCCCAAAGTGCTGGGATTACAGGCGTGAGCCAACGTGCCCAGCTTAGGACCGTATTTATCTAGTTTCTGCTTGATATCATAAGTGATGATAACACCTTACATCATAATTATGTTCCTATAAATTTTCATTTTTAACAGTTTTTATTTTAGGTTCTGTTTTCTGGATTCTCTGATACATCAAGTTCCATTGCAATTAGATCATTTATTTTTGCAAGATCACTTTTTAATCTATTTGGTGTCTCTCCTCTTACATTCTACTTTGCCACATTTTACAATTTCCTCTTCCTCTTCCTTTTTTATCTTTCCATCTCTACCTCATTCTGACTTGCTCTGTATCTTTCATGCTGGAGTTTGACAGCCCTGTATTCTCATGGGACCAGAATATGAAATATCACTCTGTCCCTCATCTGGACATATTGAAGCCCAACCTAAGATAATGGCTTTCCTTTTCTCTTTATTTCAGTTTAGCATCCTTCTCTTTTAATGCATCATTTGATTGATAAATATTTAATGATTACATACATGACAGTTGACCTATGCCAATTGTCAATTGACCTGTGCCAGTGCAGTCATTCACAAATTTATACTGGTAGCATTCAGTATATAGAGGGGGGTGAGAGCCAAGAATATTCTCTCTACACTTTCCTACTTGATTACAAAGAAAAAAAAAAATCTCAGATTAAATATTACCTACCCTGAAAGTTTGATGAAGCCCCAGCTCTTTCTCCTTTTAGGTGTTCTAACATCTTTTTTTCCTTAAAAAAATTTTTTTTAAAAAAATTATTTTTGAGACACAGAGTCTCATTCTGTCACACAGGCTGGAGTGCAGTGGCGAGGTCGTAACTCACTGCAGCCTCAATCTCCTGGGCTCAAGCGATCCTCCCACCTCAGCCTCCCTAGTAGCTGAGACTACAAGTACATGTAACCATGCCTGGCTAATTTGTAAATTTTTTTGTAAAAACAGGGTCTCATTATGTTGCTCAGGCTGGTCTTGAACTCCTGGGCTCAAGTGATCCTCCTGCCACAGGCCTGGGCCACTGTACCCAGCTCCCTCCCTCTACTTTTTAAAAGTTGAAATATAATTCACATAACAAAAACTCACCATTTTAAAGTATCCAACATGACTCAGTGTCTAATATCTTTTTTTTAATTGAGGTAAAATTCACGTAACATAAAATTAACCATTAGCCATTTTAAAGTGCAATTCAGTGACATTTAGCATATCCACAAGGCTGTGCAACCATCACATCTATCTAGTTCCAAGACTTTTTTGTCACCCCAGAAGGAAACTCTATACTTGTCCAATAGCATCTTATCTGAAATGTTCACTCAATACAAATGTGACAGCATTCTAGCAATGGGGTTTAGCTAACCTAATTGGAGTCAGGCCAGACAAATTCCTTAAGAAAGCAGCTGAACATAGGACTATTTGGGAATGAAGCCAAAGGTGCCATTTTGAAGGGAGTAGATCTCTGGGCTCATCAGACTCTTAGAACCTGTTCCTGTAAGGACAGTGCCTGGTTAGTATTTGTAACTGGTATGTGCATTTTGAATATACTCATTTCACTAAAATTTATTTCTAACATCACTTACGGCAATTGACAAAGCTTCTTATGTTGATCAGAGAATAAGCTACTGAGGCATTTTGTTAGCTACTTCTGAAGTGTGGGCTTCTGATAAAAATTTGCTAAGCACTCCTGGAGTATATATTCTTAATTAGGTTAACTGACCACCACCCCTAGAGGGTAGATTGCATCTAACAGACTCACTCATATATATCATATTGTCCACATTAAATAACCCTGGAGTTACATCATATGCACAGTTAACTTTTGCAACTTCAATTATAAAAACTGATCAAAAGCGAGAAACACAGAGAATATTTAAATGGAGCTCTCACAGAGCTTGAGCCACAGGTCAAGCTTGAAATGGTAGCCTGAATCTACTTTTCCCACAGTTGTCCTCAGTTACCTTGTCATGCTCAGTGTGTGAGCAGGATGCCATATTAAGAATGTTTCCAATGGTTAAAGATATATATTATTCATACAACATGGCACCTAAGCATAAAGAAATGATTTTAACTGGTCTTCAACTGAAGAAGCAGGCAGTCATCTGCTTCAATATGGGAGAAAAATGGGCTGTGTTTTACTTTACTGAGAGGCACAGTTTTCTAAAGTAGTTAAGGAATTTTCAAAGATATTTTTGACTATCTCTGAATTTTACCATAACTGCTTTAGAATCCACCTGTCCTTCCCTTCCTTATTCCCTACCGCCCCCATACAAGATGAGTCTGAGTCTAGCATTGGGCTAGGCTCCTTGAGGTTCCCGAAGTGTAAGGTGGCGTCTCCAGGGCATTGGATGAATTTCAGATATGCCTGCTTGGATTGCCTGAAGGCAAGCAATCGTCTGGACTAACAGTCAGGATAATTTTATGCCAGAACCAAGGCAGCTTTGTGTTATTGTTAATGGGAAAAAAATGACAAAACTTATTCATCTTGTGAGAAAGAATATTTTGTCTCTATAACACATACATTTAGAATCCCACTGTGAAATCCCAAAGGCAGACTCTAGTTCAGTTTATGGTAGAGCTGAACGATGGATGTATTACTTGAATATCATTTCCTTGTTCTAACCAGATGGTGATAAAAGTATAAAATAATCTTTATGTATTGTATCTTAGATTGTATATCCATTCGCATAGCTGATGTGTAGAATGTCTTCTTGGAAAAATTCTCTCTACTTTTTTCTTTATATTAACAAAAAGTATGCACGCAGCTGCTATGTTGATTTTAAGTTTGCTGAATTTTCTTTTCATTTCTTAGTTTCTAATTATGATTCCAACAGGTATTATCTTTTGATGCCTATTTGGAAGAGGAAGTACCTGATAAAAGCCAAACCAACTACAGAATAAGATACTACAAAATCTACTTCTACCCTGAAGATGACACAATACAAGTCAATGAACCAGAGGTGAAAAATAGTGGATTGCTTCAAGGTATCTATTTAAAGCAGAGTTATGGTTCCTTCACTTCTGACTCCTGCCTTTATATACTGCCTGCCTTTAGCTTTTCAAAAGACTGAGTGCTACTGTTTAGGCTGTCTAACCTGCTGGCAATGGTGAATATAAACATGCCATTAGCATGTAGTTATTGATGGTGACTTACCAGCTTTCTACCCTCTGCACCTCAACATTGGCTGGGTCTCTCACTCCTCTGTGGCATATTTGTATCCTTTCAGGTGCTGCTCTGGTATGAGTAAACTCTCCTGTGCCTTTAACTTTTTCCTCAAACCCTTTGGTCACTTTGCTGTGAGCAGTTCACTTCCTTCACAACACCATTAGGGGAGAAGAGAAAGCTGTTCTCTACTGCAGCTTCCAGATTGGCATTCTCTTCTTTCTTGAATTTACTGTCATTTGTTTCAACCACCCCCTCCTCATCCTCATACCTGGTAACTACAGACTTCAATGGTACCTCACCAGAGAGTCATTGTTCCTTCACCCTGTGTATGCCAGTCATCTTTGTCCATACTCCTCTCAGCCACAGATAAGAGTTAACTCTGTGATGTGGCCACCAGAGAAGCTAATCCTATGTTGCATTAAGTATGACAGAGATCAATGGAGGTGACTGATTTCTTCTGTTTGTGCTGTGGGTCCTTCTCTTGGGATGCTGCTGAGTTCTGGTTGACTTCAGGGGACAGCAACTACGACGGTGAAAGAACTGAACATTTGCCATGTGCAAGACAGAATAGTGAAAAGGGGATATTTGTCTGTAATGGGGAGACTCAAGTGTGCTTGATAAATGTCCTCAGGAATCTAAAGGTGTCATGTGGAGAAGGGGTGACCTTATTTCTGTATCTTCATGTCTTCATGGATGGGACCTAGGGATCAGAGTTCAGGTCAATAAGAGGAAGAGCTTTCTGGCAGAGAGCTGCTGGAAGTTGTAGGAAATGGACCTGGATAGGGTTGGGGTTAGGGGTCTGGTGTAGGGGCGGAGGAGAGGAGAGTCACAGACTTGTCTGTTCCCTCGTGTAAATAGATGGCCCTGGGGGCAGGTCAGGGGTTGTTTTTCACTGACAGCCTGCTAGAAGTATGAGACGATTTGAGTGTTTGTTTGGTCGCTGGTGTAAATGACCTTTCAGGGTACTTAGTTCCTTGAGGAGCTGATTCTTGGGTGTGTTGTTGTTTCTTTGCCTTTTAGAGTATTGCCACCTCCAGTATCTCAGTCTCTGAAATTGCCTTCTCTAACTATAATCTCTACTCCTTTTACTTTCCCCACTTGCTCATAACTACCATCCCTATTCTTCATTCTCCTAGAAAAATATATCCTGAATATGTCCATGTCTTTCTATCCCCTTCTGTACCATCCTCATTCAAGTTACCCTCATCTGTTGACTAGAGGAATGGAATATCTGCCTAACGTGATCTCTCTGTTTCCATTCTTGCTCCTCCTACAATCTGTTCTGTATGCGGCAGGGAGAGTGTTGTGTGGGATGTCACCTATATGCAGTGGTGGCCTTTGAGAATTATACATGCAGGCTGTCCCAGAGGCCACAAAACACAAGGCTTATGGATCACATTAAAATCCATGAATCACATGATACATTAAAGTAATTTAAAACACATGATGAGAAACAAGAGGGAAAGAGATAGGGTAGGTTCACACACTTGGGACAGGGTACAAGTAGGCAGAAGGACCATACTGCCTGAATCCTGGCATCAGCAATGGTTCTGTCTCTGCTTCACTAACCTTCCCTGCTACTAGTATGGTTTGGAGACCAGAATTGAGGGTCAAGCAAGTAGAACCACAGACAGAAGGGGCCTCGGGCTGAGGACACACACTTGCTCTGTTGGAGAGATGCAGGGAGAAGTGTGCCTGGCCATGGCTGTAGCTTGTCAATAAGCCTGCTGAATAGTCTTGGGTTTTGTTTGTGTTTCTTGGGCAGAGGTCACATGGGGCCAAAATGGGTGTCACCGATGAATGAGTGGCCAAATTGAGGCCTCATAAATATTGGGTGCTCATGAATATTTAGTGTCCCTTCTATATTTAACATATCATGAATATTTAGAGCCCAGGTGCCTCATGTATATTTACGACCTACTGAAGATCAGTTATCTTTTGGTTTTTCCATCCCTTTCTTTCTATGTTTAACATGCCCATGCTCTACTTAGCCTACCTTCCTATTGTTATTTAACACATCTCATGATTTCTGCCTATGTTGAACAAATTTTGCTTTCTAATTACTAATCTAGGCCTGAGGGCTCTGTATTGATATACCACAATGAGTACAAG